AGAGCATCGCTGAGCTCTGTGGGGAATGGGGAGCGCGCTCCCAGAGCAACAGCCGCAGGTGCAGCTGGGCTGCCCCCAGAGCAGACTCAAGAAGGGGGGCGCCCCCGGGGTGGGGACCACACAGGCACCGCACAGGCCAGTCGCAGGACACGGCTGGGGAGGGGTGGTCATTTATCTTCTTTTCGACCTGTCAGCTTCACACGGCTGCGAAACTCAACAGTCACGTCCAGCCGCTCCAACTAAGCCCCCAAACGGACATTAGAGCTGGAACCAAGTGCCAGGTCACCGGCTGGGGCGCCACCAACCCAGAACTCTTAAGCCTCTCCGATACCCTGCAAGAAGTCACCGTGACCGTCATAAGCCGAGAGCTGTGCAACAGTGCGAGTTACTACAACCACCAGCCCATCATAACTAAAGGCATGGTGTGCGCAGGAGACGCCAAAGGCCAGCGGGATGCCTGCCAGGTGAGAGCCTGCCCCTGGGGGGCGCGTCCCCGCGCCGCTGCGGGCGAGGCTGCGGGACCGAGGAAGGGAGGCACCGACGGCACAGGCCACATCCCCAGAGCGCCCCTCCGTCCTGGGGGCGCCCGCGACTCCTCTCACCTTCCAGTGTGAATGCTGAGGCCGCCCCGGCACGCAACGTGCTCATGAAACGTCAGTGAGTCAGCATCAGAGGCTCTTTCCGATGACCTTTACGGGCTCCCTCGGAGGGCCCCATCCTTGGAAAGGTCACTAGTGGTGATTAGACGATAACTTCTCCAAAAACAGAGACACCTTTTTTTTTTTTTTACTATTTTTTAAAAAATCCTCACCCAAGGAGTGAGGATATTTTTTCCATTGATTTTAGAAGAGTGGAAGGGAGGGGCGTGGGGGAGACAGAGAGAAACACTGATGTGATAGAGACATCGATGGGTTGCCTCCCTCACCCCCTCCACCGGGTGCAGGGATGGACCTGCAACCCAGGTAGGGCCCTGACCGGGGATCAAACCCTAGACCCTCCGGTGCCCAGGCCGACATTCTACCCACTGAGCCACACTGGCCAGGGCAAGAGAGCCACCTTTTAAATTAATTAATAAAGAGGTCTTATAAGACTCTAGTGCAAAAAGCTCAAATACATGGTATGTGTCTCCTAAATCATGTTGCCTGTCTGACCAAGAGGAACAACAGTCATTCTGAGATTTTCTCTCTCAGAATCTTGTTTCCTGAGATAGAAAAAAATAGGTGTTCATGGTTACAGGTGACCAACAGGGAGTGCAGATGGATTACCAAAACTTGAATGCAATATTCATATCATACTACACGTGGTTATAGGGCAGAGGATATGATGATTTCCAGGGTCATGTGTGGGTGCGGTGCCCCAAGACCGCCACCCCCTAACCCAGTCATTCTCAACCTTCCTCATCTCATGTCACACAATTACTAAAATTCTGTGACACACCAAAAATATATATATTTTTTTGCCAATCTGACAAAAAATATAGGTATAATGCTGATTCATTCCCACCAGACAGCTATTGTTGTGTTCGTATTGTCATTTTTTTGACAATCTAAGGGAAGAGAGGCCAGTGCCCCTGCCTAAACAGTCAGGTGTTGGATGGTTTACAAATTCTCGCAGCTCACCGGTTAAAAGTCCCTGCCCTAAGCCACATTTTTGGGGCCAACCAGAGCACCGTGTACTGCAGCTGGGGGGGGGG